CCCTCGGCTACTTTCGACGACTGGCCCGACGACGACGCCGAAGGGGAAGTCGCCCCGCGCCACCAGCCGAAGGTCGGCTCCTCCGCCAGCCAGGGCGGCGCGAAGAGGCGTCACGCCGGGCCGTGTCCGCCTGGCGGCAAAATGAAGAAGCTTAAGGGGGCGGCCGCCGTGACCAGACGGGAGGAAGCAGCCGCGAAGGCCAACCGCTTCCGAAGGGAAGTGAGAAGGCCGCCGCTAGTATCCGCGTAAGTCTTCATGCTCTTTCTTTTTCTTCGTCAAATCTTATCTGAGTCTTTGTTTACGTACTCCCTCCGATCTTCTCCAGGGCCCCTCTCTCCCTTGAGAGAGTCGCCGTCCCCTCTGTCATGGGGTCGGCGAAGACGTCCCCCAATACTCGGCGGGCCGACCCCGCCGCCGCCCTCCGGGAGGCGACGGAGTGAAACACGCGGGAGAAGCGCGAGGAGGAGGAAGCCAAACGTCTGGAGAAGGCGGAGGCCGACAAGGCGGCTGCCTCCGTCCAGAAGGAGCTGGAGGATGTCGAGGCTGCCCTCGCAGCGAGACGGCACGCCGAGGAGGCCGCGCGTCCCCGATCAGCGATGCTCGTCCCCCCACTATCGTCTGCGCCGCCGCCTCCGGAGTTCACGGGGCAAACCGAAGGGGCCGGCACTGAGGACCCCATCGTGGAGAAGGAGGGCGGCGATGTTTCTATGTCGGACACCCTCGTGCCGCCACCACCGCCTCCACCGCCGTCTGGGAGGCCGCACGACAAGCAGTCGGTGGATCCGTCGGAGCCGCCGGCTATGGACGAGGCTGAAACGCAGCTGCTTCTCCAAGTTGCCTCGCTGGTACGTCGCCGTCTTGAGAGGGCGACCTCGGCGCCGCGTCCTTGGGAGACCGGTGTTGCCGGCTCGCCGTCTCTAGACGCCGAGGCCACAAGCGCCGCGCCCACCGGGTGGGTGCGCGGAGGCGGCACTGGGCCGTTAAATGAACTGCTCCTGGAAGTCCAGGCGAAGCTTCGGGCCGAGGGCGATGCCCTTCAAGCTTG